GTTAGGACCGCTGGATCTCACATGGCCAACCATATGGTTTGAGTCCCAGACGCGATGGCTTGAAAACATGCCGGGCATGTGTGCATGCATGCCCAAGTTCCGAGAAAAGAATGGAGGAAAAGGGACTGCAGTGTGGATATCTCCCCTGGGGAGTGCTTTCCCACTTTCCCTGTCTCTCTGTCTGTCTCTGGGAAATGTACATGCCCTGTAGCAAATTGGGAAAAGAAAAGAAAAGAAAGAAAAAAAGAAAAGAAAAGAGAGAAAAGAGAGAAAAGAAAAAGAAAAGAAAAAAAGAAAAGAAACGAAATGAAGAAATGAAGAAACCAAAAGAAACGAAATGAAACTAAACGAAAAGAAAAGAAAAAAAGCGTTTACTAGCCGATCCTCCCCCTCATCTCACAACTCTACCCTAAGCAGCATCTTTGTTTCCCTGGACACATCACAGTACTTCACACCTCTGTGCCCTCACTCAAGTTGGTCTTTGTGACTGGAACATTCTGTCTCTTGCTGAGCTTGACTCCCTCATGCCTCAGAACTAATGTCAACTCCTCCAGAGAGTCTTCCCTGATCTCACCTACAAAGGCTGGATGGAGCGTTTCCATGCCGTCCAGTGCTCGAATGTGTCACCTCATACTGGCATCTGCTAATATGTGTTTTTCTGAGGATCAGCAGATGGCATAATGGTTATATCACTGGACTCCCATGTAACCGACCGCAGTTCGAATGCCAGACCTGGCAGCCTAAAACTCATGCTGGAAGTATGTGTGTGTGTGCGTGTGCGTGTGCGTGTGCGTGTGTGCCCAAGATCCCGAGAGGAGAATGGAGGAGAAGGGACTGCGGCCTGGCCATCTCTCCAGGGTGTGATTTCTCTCTTTCTGTCTTTCTGTCTCTCTGTCAAGTGCACACGCCCTGCAGCAAAAATCTCTCTGAAAAAAAAATTAAAATAAAAAATATGCGTTTTTCTGCCACTAGAAAGACCTTCAGAGGGCAGAGGCTGTGCTGTTTCTGAATGAATGAAGGGGTGAGGCTCACAAGGGGAAGGGAGTGGGCCCAGTAAGGAGACCAGGGAAAGGAGCAGCAGGGGCTCTCCTCAGGCCACAGGCTCCCAGGAGAGGCGCCATCCCCGTGGCTTCCTGCTGCCCCGGCTTGCGCACGCCCAGGGGGAGTCAAGGGTGTTCATTTAGGGCCTCCGCTCCCCTCGCCTGCTGTGAGCAGCCCCTCAGCAGCCTGTTTGCCTCGCCCAGCCACTGGCACAGACCATGTGCTCCCGAGACTGGAAGCCCCAGTGGTTCCTCGCACCCACAATTCAAGCTCCCCAGCGGCCCAGCCTCTGCCCGGACCCTCCCTCCGCCCCAGCGCAGTGGGCACTCATTGGGCTTTTGGTATGAGCAGCAGAATACTTCTTTTCAGTAGACAAGCTCCCCAGATTATGAACGGGGTCACAGTCGTTCCCCAGTTAAAACCCCAAGGCTCTGGCAGCCCACTTCCTCAATGGGCACGATGCTCCTCCCAGCTCCACACCTTCGGGGGGTGGGTGGGTGCTGTTCCCTCTGCCTGGAATGCCCTTCCTCCCATCCAGCCAGGCCTGACAGCCTGGCCTAGAGATCCCCTGCTCGCCCGGCCCCAGGCCTCCTCCTGGAGCAGCACTGAGGACACTGGATTAAACTGGTCTCTCTCCCGCCTCACTCACAGGCTCCCGGAGATTGTTCTCTGCAATCTGGGGCCAGGCTCCGTGGGTGCTCGGTGAACATTTGCTGAATAACCCAAGGAAGAAGCAGGTGCTCGGTGAGGGAGCGGGGCCTCAGGACGGCCAGTGCCGGAGGGGAAGACCCTCCACGTGGAGGATGGGGCAGTGAGACGGGGCACAAGGGAGATCAGCCTGGAGCAGAGGGCCCAGGGGGGCTGGGGGCTTCACGCAGGCAGGACCTAGTGAGGGGGCCTCTCAGTGCAAGGGATGGTGGCAGGAAGGCGGGCTCAGTGAATGGAGGGGGGGCTCAGCGCGGGGGTGGGGGAGTCCTTGCTGAGGGGAGGAGCAGGAAGAAACCCTGCCAGGGGGCTTTCTAACTCAGAGCTAGATAGAAGTCCTCTGCTCAATCTCTTGTCCCCTCCATGCTGGAGGCCATGACTCAGGCTCTGCCACCCATTTCTGAACTCACACTGGGCCGGCTCAGGCTCAGGGATAACTTCTGTGGCCTTCTGACCGACAGCTGCGGGACATTGGAGAGTCCGCCCTGAGGCTCAGACACACAGGAAGCCTCCCTCGACCTGGCCCCAGCGCACCCTTACCTGCCCTTCTGCCAAGCCCAGGGTGGCAAGCAGGTGTCAGGGTCTTTCTCCCTCCCTCCCTCCCTGGAAGCCCCAGGACAAAATGGTTCACACATTGTTTATTTTGCAATGACTCTGCACCCTGATGTCTACACAGAGCTCCATCTTTCCCAGAGGCTGTGAAACATACACAGCCGCTGTCTCACCTCAGCCTCTTTATTGTCCTAACAGACTCCATTTCGGCTTTCAGATTATGATGGTTATTGCATAACAGGCATCGCCTAATAACGTAGCTCCCCCATTCTGGACCCTCACACCCTGAGCTGTTCCCCACACTGCACCCCATCTTTGAGGCTCAGCGCCAAACGTGTCTGCTTCTCACACCGCCCAGTAACAAAAGCTGGTGTCTGAGCTGCAGAGGCTGCTGGGCACGGCTGTGTTGAAAGCGAGCATCAAAATTGCTGTACTCGATTGGCCACCGCTGGGACCTGGCCCTCTCTCATGCCCGGTCCAGTCCTTTTGTTTTTGTTTTCAGTATGACCTACTTGAACCCGGATCTCTGACCCCTAGGTGAGCTGGGCGTGTGTGGTGTGTGCATGCCACGTGTGAACGGGTCCTCTCTTCTCACTTCGGAAATGGAAGAGACCGATTATAAACTGCTAACTCGCATCTGGCCCATGGCCTCCGAAATGCTGGCCACGACAGAGGAGAAGGGAGCAAAACCGAGGCCTTGCTGCTGATTAAACCTAACTGTCTCTAATCGTTTGTTGAGCCAGGGATTTTCAGCTCCACCAGTTCTCTGAACATCTCCCCCTGGGCTGAGTTCTGGCCTTGGCCACTCCCATGGAGGCCCGACAGAACGCCACTGCCCTTCAGCCCTCCCCAGCAGGCCTGTTCTGGAGGGGAAAGTGAAGCAAGAAGCAGTTGGGCAGGACTTCAGGAAGACTTCCTGCCTGTGGGCGGGGCATCTCTTTGTTTGTTTGTTTGTTTGTTTGTTCGCTGCAGGGCACGTGCACTAGCCAGAGAAAGACACAGGGACAGGGATAGCCATCGCCTGATGGGGAACACCCAAGTCTAGAGGCTCCCACCCCACTTCTGAGCGCGGGCACATACGCTGTGGCCACTCCCACCTGTAAGGGCTCCCTCACTGAGACATTACCAGTCACTGAGTGCCCGGAGAAGAAGGTGGGGACAGGGACCAGCAGTTAGCGTAATGGCTATGTTGCTGAACTCCCATGTAGCCAACCATGGTTTGAGTCCCGGACCCGGTGGCTTAAACTCACGCCAGGCGTGTGTGTTTGGGTGTGTGTGTGTGTGTGTGTGTGTGTCCAGGATCTCGAGAGGAAAATGGAGGAGAAGGAACTGCGGTGTGGCCATCCCCCAGGGGGGGTGATTTCTCACTTTCTGTCTCTCTGTCTTTTGGGCGAGTGCACGCGCCCTATAGCAAAAACCTCTCCAAAAAAAAAAAGGTGGGGACAGGTGCACGTGGAACCCTGTCACACTGACTCCCACACCATGGCCTCAGGCCTGCCTTGCCCCTTTCTTAGTAGCATGCTGAGAGGAGTTAATGACTCTTTTTAAGCTGTGGGACCCTTTCTTCTGAGGTCATCTCACATGGAAGCTCGTTCCCAAACACAGAGCGAGAAGGAGCTGTGCTGGTTTGAAGGGCATGGCCAGACCCATCTGCTGCCCCCACTGCCCCACCAGTCCCTGAGCTCCCACTGGCGTGGTGGGAAAGCCACAGGAGGGGCCAGACCACGGCGCAGCGATAACCGTGATGCTCCTGAGACTGGCCGCGTGGGAAGGTTCGGGGTCCGTGACCCGAGACTTCCCTGAACACACAGGCACGCACTGCCCACGACCCAGGTGGGCTGGGGCTGGGGCCGGTTCAGCGTCAAGACCTGTTGAGGGGCTGCGCTCGCTCTCACACAGAAATAATGAACTAATTTTAGAAAGCCACAGGGGTGGCCAGTCTCGGGACCCTCCCTCCTTCACTGCTCCTGCTCCCTGCTCTGGGTGGGACACCCTGCTGCCCACGGCCAAGCTGTGCAGAGCCCTGACCTGGAGAGGCTAAGGGCAGCACTTCTTTTTTTTAAAGAGATGTTTGCTATAGGGCACATGCGCTCGCTGCAGAGACAGAGAGACAGAAAGCGAGCCATCACTCCCTGGGGGGATGGCCATGCCACAATCCCTTCTCCATTCTCCTCTCGGGATTTTGGTCACACGTGCACATGCACCCGGCATGAGTTTCAAGCCATCAGGTCTGGGACTTGAACCATGGTCAGCCATTTGGGAGTCCAGCGCCTTAACCACTGTGCCATCTGCTGGCCCCTGAGGGCAACATTTCTGCCATCACTAAAAGAAAGGCACCCTGAGCTCCCCGGACCATGAGGGAACCCCGACGCTGGGCAGGGTCCCAGGCAGCATCTCTGTGGAGGTCACGCAAAGCCGGTGCCATGTCCGAGAGCATCCTCCACAGTGGGACCCAGGGGGGGTCAGTCTAGAAAGCAGAGTCCACAAAGGGGACACGGACCAAGTGAGCCATCCACGGCATGGTCATCTCAGCAAGTTAACCACCCACTGGGCACTCCACTGCCAGGAAACCCACTGAGCGCTAGACAGCCGCAACCGAGTGGAAACCTCGGTCGGTCGTTGCAGAGACTCCAGAAGGCCCTGCAGACCCCGCGGCCCCCGCCCCTCAAGGCTAGCAGCAGCCCAGCCCCTCCATTACTCACTCCGCCGCTGCCGCTTCCCCTTGATTCCCCGGCTGCCAACAGCAAGGTGCATCCAGCTCAGAACCAGGGCCACCACGCACAGCCCAAGCCGCATAGTCACTCGCCAGCTCCAGGCCCCTAGTAGGAGGGGTGGTCTCCGGGGGTGGATGGCGCAGGGCCCTTGCTAACGCCTCCGGGGCTGGGTCAGCAGCAGGAGGCCCAGGCCTGGGCCGCAGCCCAAATCCACCATAATCTCAGCTGGGCACAGAGGACGCAGGAAGCCCAGTTCTCCATCAGCCCAAAGAGAGGTCCTCAAAGACAGCACTCCTCGGGGACCTCCGGTGTCACATGGGAGATCTCTGTGTCACTTCCTCAAGGACTACTCCCAAACCAACCTGCAGGTGGAGGAGAGAAAAGGGTTAATTCTGGGATACCCCAACCTGCGGCCCCCCCACCTATGCCACCTCATTCGCACAAAGCCCCCTCCTAGCAGATGATGAAAACTCAGGCTGTTTGGACATTACAGGTTTCCCACCTGGCA